TGTCGTGTATCCACCAGGACCGCATCCTGCGGGGCCGTGTCACTGTCCTAAAGTCTCCGTGTGCTCAGCCCCTCGTCCTTCCGCCCTTCCCCGGCCCCCTGATCTGTTCGCGGTCTCCTGGGGGTGCCTCTTCCAGAACGTCCCAGGCCTGGGATCCCCGCGCAGCCTTCTCCCACTGGCCTCTGCCACCTAATTCCTGCCCCTCGCGGCTTCGGGGGCGTGGCTCTTGAGGGCTTGTGAGGCCGCTGTACCCCCAGGGAGTCCAGCCGCCCCTCATCTTCAGGTATTTAACTCTGCGTCCCCCTGCGAGATTCCTGACTCCACGGGAGGTGATGCAGCCACAGGCTCTGGGGAGGAGGGTGTGGACGTCCTTGGGGGTCACGCTCCTGACCTCACAGCCTGTACCCAGAGCTGCCCGCTGGATGACGTCGTGTCCGGGGAAGCAAGCCGCCAGCCCCTTGGGTGCTTGGGGCTCCTGGAGAGTCCGCCAGGTCACTGCACTGGGGCGGGGGGCAGCAGAGCCCTTACCTGCTGAGCGGGATTCCGGCTCGAATGGATCCCGTGTGCTTATCCATCCACCTGTTGGTGAGCACCTGGGATGCTTCCAGGTTTGGGGCATTATGAGAAAAGCTGCTCTGAACATTCCTCCCGAGAGCTTTTGTGGACGCGGGTTTGATTCCTCTCGGGTGAAGGAGCAGAGCCGCCAGGCCTCTCCCGGGGTGGCCCTAGCCTGTCACGGTCAGCAGCCGCTCGGAGGGGCCAGGCCACCCCGCATCCTCGGCAATGCCTGCCTTACCTTTCAGCCGCTCGGGTGTGTGTGTTTTTCTTTTTGTGCTAAAATGCACAATGCACAATTCATAAAATGCACACAAAATTCACCATCGTAACTGTCTCTAAGTGCACAGCTCAGTGGCATGAAGCCCACTCACACGGTCCTACAACCAGCCCCACCCTCTGTCTCAGAACGTTCCATCTCCCCCCACGGAGACTCTGTCCCCCACGAAGCACGGACTCCCCACCCCCTGTCCCAGCCCCGGCTCCCACCCTCTCCTCTCTGTCTGTGTGGACGGGACTCCTCTGGGGACCTCCTGGAAGTGGGGTCCTGCGGGATGTGTCCTTCTGGGTCTGGCTCCTCTCACTGAGCGCGGTGTCCTCGGGGTCCCTCCCCGTCGTGGCAGGTGTCAGGATCCCTTCCTTCCTGAGGCTGGAGCGTGTTCCCGCGTGGGGACGGACCGCACCGTGTATCCCTCATCTGCTAATGGACCCTTCTGGGTGTTGTGAATCGTGCAGCCGTGTGCACACGCGGGTGTGTTCCAGCCCCTGCTTTCTGCTCTGCTGTGTGCACACCCAGACGTGGGGTTGCTGCTGCATCAGGTGGTAATTCTATGTTTGGGTTTTTGAACTGACTTCTGATCTTATGCTTAACAAAAAGAGGATAATTTTTATGTAGCTGAATCTATAAATGTTTTACACAAAGTTCTCTGCTGGGAGGTCAGAATCTCTCATGGACAGATTTGTTATTAAGGTTGAACTCTCTCCACAGTCTGGTCTGAGTCGGGACCATGACTTACTCGGCATCTCCCCTGGGGTCTCTGGTGGCTGAGCGTGGCCCCTGGATGACGGGACGGCAGGGGGCACCAGGCCCCAGGCGCTCCAAGCCCTGAGAGCTGGGCACTTTCCCGCGGGCCGTGCCAGATGGAGGCAATCCTGAACCGTGGGGCACGGGGCTCAGGCGCGCTGACCCACACACAGCGCAGCCCAAAGTTTTCTTTTTGAATTTATTTGAGAGAGCGAGCGAGCACAAGCAGGGGGAGGGGCAGAGGCAGAGAGAGAAGCAGTCTCCCCACTGAGCAAGGAGCTGACTCGGGGCTCTATCCCAGGACCCCGGAATCATCACCTGAGCCAAAGGCAGACGCTTCACCAATTGAGCCACCCAGGCAAACTGGAAAGCCCGCAGAAGCTGAGGGCCGCTGTGTGGGGCTGCCTGAAGCCACGCTCCACCTGTGGAGCCCCCTCCCAGCAGCAAGGGGCGCGCGCACGTGCGTGGGGGGCAGCCCGTCAACCCCGGCGCCCAGCCCACCTTCCCGCCCAACCCCACCCCCTGCAGGCGGTGGGCACAGAGAGAGGACCAGGGAGCCTTTGTGCGGGGATTAGTCACTCTGTATTAACAATTCCACACAATATTAAAACACTGCAAGAAAGTGGGTGTGGCACACCTGGATTTTTTTTTTTTTTTTTTTTAAAAACAGAAATAAAAGCCACTGAACATCCAAACGGAGATGGGGTAGAACCTGCTAGGACCACGGCTGGCTTCTGCGAACCGGAGCGGGTCTTTGCAATGTTTGGCAATGGTTTCCACGGACAGAGAAGGAAGAGGGCGGAGTGTCCGACCTATGGCTTTTCTGGAGACTCCGTGGCAGGCTGGCTTTTTGTAAGTGTTCTTGGAGGACCAGAGCGACCTTTGGTGGCCTCACCTTGGCCCGGAAACTGCCCCCTGGTCCCTCGCCCTCGGGGCGGGTGGACGGCCTTTCCTGCCCCGGGAGCTCGGTGGGGCCCTGGCCGCGCAGAGATGGATGAGCTGCCTGGAGGCCCAGTGCCTGGACACGGTGGCCGGAGTCACAGGAAGAAGGGCAGCACCTTCTGCCGCCCGCGATTCACATCCACCAGGCCAGAGGTCACCCCCCAGTCACTTTATTCTTGGCCTGGGGGTCACCTGAGGGGAGGGGTGCACATTCTAGCTCCTTCCTGGAGTGGGGGAGGGGAGGGGAGGCGCCCCGGCTGCCAGCCCCCTGGGGACACCCAGACTCTGTGTTTTTGGGGCGGTGCCCTTCATGTCCCCCCGCCACGAGGTGGCCGAGAGACGCGGGTTTCCCCCAGGCCCGCGCTGCCGCCTCCATCAGCTCCTGCACACACCGTGCACACAAGGTTTTCATGCGGGATGCGCACAGGGAAAGCACGGGCGCTCGGGGTCTACACTACGGACACGGACACTTACTCTAGAAGGAAAAAAGGAGGGTTTCTTCCTCAGCTAGAAAGACACCCACGGTGGGGCTTCTGCTGACGGCCGCCTCCCGGGGTCGAGGGCCCTGGTGGCCCCTAGGGGAGGCAGCGGGCAGGTGTGGCTTTGGGGTGGAGGTGCGCCCATCCTCACCCTCTCTAAGCCTAGTTTACCCACACCCCTTGGCCCCCGGGGCTCTGACTTGAGTTCGAGTTCACTTCAGGGCTTGGAGGGGGGGCCGCGCCGCCGGCTGAGCCCAGAGCGGGCCATGGGGCTGCCCAACTCCGTTGAACCGCACCGCCCTGAGCTGGGCTGTTGGGTGGTGGGGGTGGGGACACATGGTGGGGCTGGGCGTGGCACAGCCGGCACGGCAGGGGGGGGACCGAGACCAGGGCCCCCCGTCCTCGCTGGGGACCTGCGGCCGGAGGACCAGCCCGGGGTGGTGGGGATGCAGGGGGAGGGACGGGCTCCAGGGATTAAGGCTTCTTCACAGAAGTGGCCCGGACAGGCTTTGCTCTGCCAACAGCCTCCCGCGTCTCAGGGCGGATCCCGCCGTGCCCTGGCCTCCCTCCTGCAAACAGCTTTTGTTCTGTCTTGCTGTCGGCTGGGGACAGTGAGAGGCTGGTTCCCGCCCAGTGAAGGGTGGCCAGGACATTGGGCCCTCGTGGCTCCCCCGTCCAACGGCAGGTTTGGAGAAGCTGGGCTCCCCAAAGCCCCTGGTGCTCCCGGACCGGCCGGAGAGAGCTGGGAGCCGGGGAGCAAGGCTGGACCCTACAGCCTGCGCCCTGGGGGAGCCAGCCACACGGGGACGTCACCTGCCGCGTGGGGACGCAACCCCCCAGCCCTAAACCTTAGCGCTGGTGGGATCTGGGCCTTGGCACTCGCAGGGGCTCGGGGCCGGGGGGTTTGGCACGAGGCCCCGGCCCCTGGCTGTAAGATGGGGGGTTGGCACGAGGCCCCGGCCCCCCCTCCTGGTGGAGGACGCAGGGGCGCAGGGCAGGGGTGGGGCGGGTGGGGGACGGGTGTGCGGGGCCCTCCCTCTACCTCCTGCTCCTTTAGCTGTGCAGGTCGTCACAGGGACCAAGTGATTAAAGAAAAGCCACGGGAGGGAAGCGCGAGTGGGTTAGGCCTCTCACCCGCCGAGGCCCCGCAGCTGCTTCCGGGAACTTGATGCCTTCTGACCCGCGAGGCAGGGGCCTCGGCAGGCCGCACTCCTGCCTGCAAAATGGCCACGGCGATGCGCAAAAGTGGAAAACAAAACACGACGCAACACAACCGCCCGGAAGAGCCCAGTACGACCACAGCGCCGAACCGCCCACACGGCCGCTCGCGCTCACGACAGGCCGCACCCAGCTGGCCGTGACCGCGGGCAGGGCAGGCTGCTGGGAATCCGCCTCCGTCAGGGGTGGGCTCCCAGGGAAGGGCAGGGGGCTGCGGCGCGGCTGCTGGGTGACGCGTGGCCATGTGGGCCGCGCTGCCCAGGCAGAGCCCCCCTCCCGGCCCCTAACCTCTGTGGGTGCATTCCACACGACGTGCAGCTGTGGGCTCAGCCACTGAGCTCTGGGCTCTGCCGTGTGGAGTAACAGCGGCTTAAGCAAGGAGGAGACATGTTTCCGAAACGGTCCGCTGGACCCTCCCCGCACCCCCCAATTCTAGTCGGCTCAGGAGAGAAGAGACAATAAACGCACGGCAGCATGGGCCCGGCCCCAGTCTTTCCACAGACGGCCAATGGTGTGAGGCTTGTCACCCGCCCGGACGCCCGGGGCAGCAGCCACGTCACCCGCCTCCTTCCCTTGGCCCGGCCCGGCCAGCTCTGGCCCACTACCCTGACGGCAGCCGAGAGCTTCCGGAAGCCGTGAGCGCATCACTTGGGCATTTCTGCTACTCCTGATGGGAAGCGGTGCGGCCTCCCCAGCGTCCTCTGGCCGGGCCCGGAGGGGACGCCGCTGTTGGGCTCGAAAATCCACCTAAACCTGGAGGACACACTTTACCCCATCCATGGTGGCGGCTGTTCGCCTTTCTTTGGGAACTGAACGTTTTGGGACTTGAGATGTTCTGCTTGACTGCGCAGTGGGTGATGCCCTAGCTGGGGGAGACAGAGGGGGGCGCACAGAAAACACGGCTACAGAATGATACAAGGCTTCTTGTCCTTAAAGGGGTTCTCGGAGGCAGGGACTCCCACCAGCAGGGGGTCGTTCCGGGCGTGCTGCTCACAGTAGCTCATGAGTTCTGACGAGGCTTTGGACACCTGCGTGCAGGCACAAGGACGAGAGAGGAGAGATCAGACGGGCTGCCACGCGCATGTCCCCCGCAGCCAAGGCGGGAGCGACCCCGTGTCCACCCACCGGGATGGAGACACCAGATGTGTCCCCCACGCGCGGGAATGTGATCGGCCGCGAGCAGGAGAGGCGCCCACATGCGTGGCCCCGGGGACGGACCCCGAAGCCACGACGCTCAGGGAGGGAGCCAGACACGGAAGGCCACGCGGGGTGTGCGTCCACGTGGGTGACACGTCCGCGGACGGGAAGGGGGCTCGCGGGGGCCGGGGCTGGGGGGGAGGGGGAGGTGACTGCTGATGGGGACAGGTTCCTTTCCGGCTGATGGAATGTTTCAGAACGAGACAGAGGCAGTGGTTGCACAACACCAAGGTGCTATCATGCTGCTAAGTTTTATGTTAGGTGTGTTTTACCACAATTTAAAGAAGGTTAAAGAAGGGACTGAGTCTCCTTGAGCAGGGGTTACCCAGATTTTAGACAAAATGGAGAGATGGAGCCCTCTTTAGGATTCAGACCAAGACTCCATTCCCACCCAAGACAGGAGGGCACAGGAAGAACCGTCTGAACGTCGGAGGGGCCCCACACAAGCTCCTGTGCATTTCTTCGCTGGGCCCCTGAGCCGGCCGGGGCCAGTGACCTGGGCGAGGGGGCAGACACCTGGGGCTACCTGCATCAGGGTCCCCAGAAGAGGAGGGGGAGATGCAGGGAGGAGCCACTCAGCCCCTGGGAAAGCTCACGGGGGGGAGAGGGGGTGCTTCATCACAGCGGGGGTATGGCCCAGCCCTGCACCCTACCCTCCAGGGCGCGCCTCTGGGGGTGTGGTGGGCACCATCTCACTCCGCTTCCCCAGGGCCGGGCTGAGGGCTGGGCGCTTGGGTTCAGGGGTCCTGGGCCTGGGTGGAGGGGCCCCTGGGTCTCCTCCCTGCAGCGGGAACTGTCAGAGGAGCTTGGCCCCCTGCTTCCCCACCTGCGAGGTGATGAGAGGAGCGGCCGAGTGGGCGCGAGAGGGTAGGACACGCAGGGCTGAGAATTCCCCTGGGCTCTGTGGTCTGCAGCCCTGCACCCCTGACAGCCAAGGCCGCCTGACCTTGTCCCCAGTGCTGCCCAGTCTGCAGGCTGGCCTCTGGGTTCATCCTGGGGACACTCCTACCCACAGACACCGACAATTGCCACTGTCCTGAGCACTTGGCCGCTCCCAGGGCCGCGCTGGCTGAGCCCGTTGGTTTCTAGAGTTGTATTTGGAAAGCAACCCTCCAAAACGACAAAAATAGCCTCCGGACCCTGGAAATAACTGACGCGGTGGCTCGGGCATGTGGTCCCCCGCTCATGCCCCCCGCGTCAACAGGAGGGCTCTGCCCAGAGGCTGGGCCCCCCCATGCCCGCCTTGCTGCTGCTTGCCAGGCCCTGGCCCTGCTGGCTTTTCAGATGTGCCGATGTTTGTGCTTCTGGTGGTAGGCTTGGGGACAAAAAGCCTCAGGCGGGACTGGAGTGGGGAGGGTGGGTCCTGTCCCGCTCCCCTCCTCCCTACGACGTTCAAAGGGGTGGCAGGACTCCTCCAGCACATCAAACGGGGGCTGGGATGAATCATGCTCTCCGCCGGGGCTGGGGCCAAACCGGCTCCCTAAAGTCAAACCACGTCAACTGAGGCCTTCAAGCCTTTCTCTTTCTTCAGCCCGAAGGAATGCTTTGAATGCTCGGGGTTCTGGAACATTCAGACACCTCGCGGGAGCCGCACCCCCGCCCACCTGGGGGGCTGCAGGAGCCCTCCTACCCGCCCGCTGGGCTGGAGACACACTGCTTCCCACTCTGTCCACTGCAGGGCTGTCAGTCAGGTGTCAGTCTGTCCGGGCGCTGGGCCACCCCTGCTGGTGAATTCCCGCACCCAGCAGGGACCGTGGAGTGGCAGGTGCTCAGAAGATCAGTCTGAACAACTCCACAAGGTTGGTGTTTGATTTTTAAATGTCCACTTGGCCAGGTCATGGTGCCCAAATATTTGGCCAAACACCAGTCTAGATGTCACTGGGAAGGTCATTCTTATATGAGGTTAACATTTAAATGGATTGACGTGGAGTAGAGAGCCGACCCTCTAAATGTGGGTAGGCCACATGCCATCAGTTGAAGGCCTTCAGAGGAGAGGAAGTCTGCCTCCAGGGGGCCTTGGGGACTCGAGCTGCAGCGTCAACCCTGGCCTGGGTCTCCAGTCTGCCCTGTGGATTTCGGACTTGTCAGCCCCCATGGTCTGTGAGCCAGTTCCTTAAAATACCTCTGGCTCTCTCTACACACGTCCTCCCGGCTCTGCTTTTCTACGGAGCCCTGACCGGTCCCAGGGGCAGCTGGAGCGGGGCCAGGGCAGACATGGAAACCCCCCGGGTCTTCTCTAGGGAGACCCTTGGCCGCCGGCTGGCTGGGGCCCGTGGCGGGAGACCACCGGCTGGAGGTGCCTCGATGTCCTTCGCCAGGTGGACACGGGTGTGATGACAAGGTGTTCGTACCTTCCTCACAAGGGAGCCACAGCTGGGCCACTGGCCCTTTTCAGGAAGACCAAGTCTGTAGAGCTGATGGCCCAGCGAGGCACTAGCTTTTGTTTTGGGTCTCTGGTCCCTGATGGGTTAAGTGTCTGTGAGCAGGAACGGCTTGTCCTTTTTCTTTTTTTAGCATAAAAAGCAAACACACTTATTTCAAAAAATCCAAACAATGCAGAAGTGAAGAAAGTAGCCAGCAGGGAGCCCTGGGTCCTCCCTTCTCTGGACCACGTCTCTAACTTCTGTCTGCATCTGTCTGGGGGCCAGACGGAGCCTGGCTGAGCAGCGCGAGGACCCCGAGGGCTGGGGGTGGGCTCGGCCCTCCTCTGTTCCCATCGCAGTGACAAAGCTGGGGCACACGGGTGGTCACAATAGCCCACGACAGGTTTTGTATCAGCTGGGTCTCTCCGTTGAGGCAACGGAGGCTCAGAGAGGTTAGGGAGTGGCCCAAGGTCGCACAGCAAGGGGCACAGCTGGAATGCAGCCCCTGCTATGGGGCAGGCCTCCCGCGCAAGGGGTCTCCTCCCTACTCGGCCCGCCCGCCCAGCTCACCTTGATGCGCTCTATGCCGGCTTCGATGCGGAGCTGCTCCACCAGCTTCCGGGCCTGGGCTATGTTGTTAGTGGCTGACATTGTCTGCCATCAGCTCTGGGCCCCTGTTGTCCAGAGAGCTGTGGGGGGAAGCAGAAGGGTGTGAGCTGGCTCGTGAAGCCCCGGCCCTGCGGCCGGAGGACGCCCCTCCCAGAGGCTTCCACCTGAGCCCCGGTACTCATGTGCCCGGGGTCGAGGTGGGGGCAGTGGGAGGCCCAGCCAAGCCGCCTCCCACGGTCCCCCCGGTGCTGGTGGGGGGTAAGTGCTCCCCAGACGTGACCACCAAGCCTTTCAGGACAGTTCACCAAACCACAGCATCGACGCGGGGATGACTCAGAATGAGGGACTCATGGGGCACTTTCTCTGATCCCTGCCCGGCTCCGTGCCCCCCAGCACCACTGACCTGGGCAGGCTCACTGTTTGGGGGCGTCCTGGGCACATCCCTGGCCTCCACTCTTTGATGCCAGGATGTCCCAGTTGTGATGGACACAGATGTGTCCAGACATGGCCCGAGTCCCCTGGGGCAGAGTTGTCCGGGTTAGACCCTGGCTCTGGACCACGGCAGGTCACCCGGGAGGCACTGTGTGCTGTGGGTCCTGGGTCTGGCCTCCCTTCCTTCATCCGTGTGCTCATTTGCCCTGGAGGATGGCCCACCACGTGCCGGGTGCTGCCCTGAGAACACCCCGCTAAATGCGGCTGAGTGCAGGGGGAAGCCCTTGGTTCCTGTCTGTGTGGGTGCCTGCCTCCGACTTCCCACCCCAGGCCCGGCTGTGACCTGGGCCCCCACAGCAGGCTGCCCGGGCAGGGGTGCTGGCTCTTACTCCTGGCACGGGAGAGGCTTCTGGGGATGCGAGGGGGGATTTATGTCACCAGTCGGAAAAGGGAGCCCACTTGGTTTTGCAGGGTTTTCCAGAGCTTTCTGATGTGCTGGAGCGGTCGGGACAAATGACCACAGACTAGGGTGCTGAACACAGCAGGAATTTGTTCTCCCACATTCTGGAGGTCAGAGGTCTGAGATCCAGGGGTGGGCAGGGCCGGGCGCCCCCTGTGAGGGCCCAGGGAGGGTCCTTCCTCCCTCCTCCAGCAGCTGGTGTGGCCACATCACTCGATCTCTGCCTGGTCCTCACAGGGCCTTCTTATAAGGACACCCTCCTCCATGACCACCTCTTCCTAACTACTTGCATCTGTAAAGACCCTATTTGCAGTTAAGGTCCCATTCTGAGGTTCTGGTGGACATGAATTTGGGGGGGACACTATTCACTCTGCTACACTTTCCTTGAGTGTGGGTGGAGTGCTCCGAGTAACCCACTCAGGGCAGGTAATGATTGCAGATAAACCCTCTTCCTGAACCCCGAGTAGCCCTTCCACGAATTCTCTGAGGACTGCTGCTCAGTGTGTGTGTGGGGGTACTTGCTGCTTCAGTGACCAGATAGCACCCAGCGGTCTGCTCGCGGCCCCCCACACCTTCAGGAAGTGGGTGTCACGCCTTAGCGGTTCAGGACGGGTCAGAGGGCCTCCCCACCTGCTCGCCCAGCGAGAAGACCAATCCTTTACTGCACCAATGATCCCAGCTTTGCTAGTGTTTGAGGGTGACCTATTTTCTTTCCCACATATTTTTATTGATTTATTTTTTAAAAACTTTAAAATTTTGAGATGCCTGTTGATTCACATGCAGTTGTAGGAAATGACAGAGCCTGTGAGCCCCTTGCCCGCTTTCCCCCACGAAGACGTCTTGCAAAACCGCAGTCGGCATCACAGCTGGGAGGCCCCCGACAGGCACAGAGGACATGGGGTGTCTCTCCTGTCCCAACCCGCCCTCAGCCCCGGCGACCCCTGATGTGGTTTCCTTCTCCAAACTTCCGTCATTTCAGGACCCACGGTGTGTAAGTGGAACCGTGCGGCCGTAAGGTTAGGGGCTGGCTTCCCCCCGCGGGGCCCGGTCCTCTGGAGACGCACCCAGGCTGCCGCGCGCATGGCTAGCTCCCTGCCGAGCGGCGGTCCCCTGCGGAAGGTGAATCTGGCCGGATTCCCGTTTTTGGCCGTCACGGACACAGCCGCCACAAATCGTGTGCAGACTCTTGTGCAAACACAAGGCTTTATTTCTCCGAGATAAACGCCGAAGATGTAACTGCGTGTTCAATTCTCAGAGAAGATGCCAAGCTGTTTTCCAGAGCGGCGGCACCACTTACATTCACACCAGCAGTGTATGAGTGGTGTTAATGTGTTTTTACAATTCACCTGTGCACAGATCTTCCTGTTCCTGAAGGCCGTGAAAATCCTACTTTCCCCACAGCCTTTGTTTAGGGAGCATAGCGGTTCTAACGGCTGATCGTGCCCCCCAAGGACGCCAGGCCATGTCTGGGACGTCTGTGGTCGCCACGACCAGGGGAGCTCCCGGTACCGAGGGGTGGGGGCCAGGATGCTGCTCAGCCCCCACCGTGCCCGGGACCCCCCAGAGGACGACCCGCCCGGGTGTCTTCAGCGTCCAGGCTGAGGAAGCTCCCAGGAGGACCCGCACGGGCGTCCGTGCCGACACAGAGCCCAAGGTTAGGAGTCTGGGAAGATGCTTAGTCGGGTGACGAGCAGCACCCTGTGCTCTGTCATGATGCAGTGGGCACTGTCCGCTCGGGGGTCACCAGACCCAGGAGCTGCGCAAAAGTAAAGGTTTCAGCCTGCCTGCCTCCCTCCCTGCCTCCCTCCCTCCCTTCCTTCTTTCCTTCCTTCCTTTCAGTTTTAATTATTTACTTAAGTGATCTCTACACCCAGTGTGGGGTTCGAACTCATGACCCCGAGATCAAGGGTCACATGCTCTTCCAACTGAGCCAGCCAGGCGCCCCAGATTTCAGATTTTCAAACCATTTTCTACTTAGCAATAATAATAATAAAAAAAATGGACCGTTGATACACACAACACCTTGGGTGCATCTCCAGGCAGTTACGTTGAGTGAAAAAAGCCAATCCCCAAAGGTTACGAGACGTGCATTTCCATTTATAGAACATTTTTGAGATGAGAGGGTTGTCGGGATGGAGGATAGATTCCCTGTTCTGGGGGTGGAGGCAGGTAGGCCTGGGCAGGAGGGGGCTCCTTGTGGCGCTGGAAACATGGACTACCTGCGGGGGGGCAGTGGGTTCATGCCCCTGCACGTGCGATAACCTTGCACTGAATCACACACACGCACATGCACACACACACACGCATACACACGCACACACGCGAAACCACAGCAACAGAAGAAGGTAGGTGGGCGGTACCCGCATTGACACCCTGCTTGTGATAGTGGCCATACTTCCACAAAATGCTACCGTTGGGGACACAGAGCGAATGATACATGGACTTTCTCTCTGATTTGTTTTAACTGCATGTGAATCTAAAGTGACCTCCATAAAAGTCTCAGAAAAAAGATCATTCCACATGGCCTGGCTCCCTGTCCCTTCCGGCAGACATCCAGCCCCCTTTTGGGTCAGAAAAGGCCTGAGTGTGTCTGTTCTGGGAGCACAGAGCCCACGTGTGGGTTTCCAGAGGGCTCTGATTCAGCAGAGAGCTTCAAAGCAGCCACAAAACATCCAACTCAGGGAAAACTGCCCTTGGTTGGGCTTACAAATACCTAAATTACTCAGCGCTAAATATAGATGCGTACGGAGAACAAACGGGCTGGCCCCATGGCCTGTTTTCCTTGGAGGGCCAGGGAGTCCTGCCTGGCATCCACACTCAGAAGTGTCCACCGGGACCCTAGGACCCCTGCCCCCCCTGGGGCCACCCCCAACTGTGGCCTCCCTCTGAAGCACGAAGCCCCTAAGTGTGGCTGGCTTCCTGTTCCAGGCACAATGTCCCCAAGGGCTCCCTCTGGGCTGGGTTATCACCCCGGCCCCAGAGGACAGTCAGGGATGGCTGCATGGGGGGGTGTGCATGCACATGAGTGTGTGTGTACTTATGTGCATGTGTGTGAACATGTGTGTGTGAGTGTGGGTATGTGAGTGTGCGGGTGAGCGTGTGCACACGTGCGTGTCTGTGTACAGACGTGTGCATTACACCTGCATACATGTGCACGGACGTGTGAACGGACATGCGTGTGAGTGAGCGTGCTGAGACGCTGGGACCAGACACCGGTTGCGTCACCGCAGTGCATGCAGCAGACTCAAGCCTCATCCTGGTGGGTGCCATAGCCAGTCACTGACTCATGACCCAGCCGTGGCCCGGGATTAGGCCAGCTCCAGCAGAACAGGCAGGGGCGCTGAGTCAGCCTAGGGAACATTCCTCACTGGTTGCTGCTCCACAAGAAGCATGTGACGGCGCCAGGCGCCCAACCTGGCCAGACCTGCCGGGCCCAGCAGAGCCTCACCGGCCCCAGGAGCCCAGCACAGCCTTGGCAAGCTGGGGGACAGGAGGGAGCGAGCGGGGGCAGTCTGTCCCGGCCCTGACTCCAGGTCCTGCTGCTGCCGAGGCGCCAAGGGGCACGGCTCGGGGGACATCACCCGCCTCCGCCTGGCCTCCGGGTAAAGGGCCAGGAAGCCATGCCGAGCATAAGGGGCTCCTGCAAGAGATCCTCACGTGGGTGTGTGTGACAGGCAAGGACAATGGAGGTCCCCCACCCTGTGGTACATTGTGAGGCTGTGGTCATCATTAAGAGAGGGCAGTCACCCCCAGATGGAACAGGTCTGCCCTCACACACGAGGCTCCAGCACACACAGGGTCAAACACACCATGCGGAGGGGCAGGACGTCTTCCACGGTGGGCTGTGGACGCGGCAACACGGGAAACAGTCAGAATGGGGTCTCTCCCGCCTGGCACTGCCAACACAGGGCTGGCTCGTTCTCTGGGGGGCGCTGTGGGGGCTGAGCAGCATCCCTGGCCCACCCCTCCGTGCCAGGAGCACCCCCAGTCCTCATGGCCACAGACGTCCAGACATTGCCCGGCATCCCTGGGGGGCAGAGCTGCCCTGCGTGAGAACCACTGGATTAGATCAGGCCTTTATTCCACACCCGAAGAGATTCCATATAAAGAGCCACAGAATAAGGAAGAAAATAGAAATAAATCAGTAAAGATGTACAGAACACTTAATCTCAATCACGGAGAAGTTACGATGT